ATATCCACTGTTTACTTTTCATGTCTTCTTTCCCATGCTCCTTTCTTGTCACCAAGAAGCTTTCCCCCACTGTTTTACTAAGGATGTATTCTAAGAAATTAGAAAGTCACTAGCAGGTGTTAGGTAGGGGACAAAGCTATAGGGTCATAGTTCTTGGTGTATCAAATGCTAAAATGCATCATGCAAACACCTATAAAGAAACAGCCAAACCCCTGAAGGTGACTCTCAGAGCATTATCTACATTAGAATTTGGTGAGCACATTGACTTCAACATCAAATATACTTCAAAAATGGCATAATAACATTGACACTTCGCACAACAACAGCATCTGTATGACCAGTACTATCGAATAGAGGAAAGATCATGATCAAAGACTCAATTGAGAAGAATATAATCTCCCAATCTGTTCATTGTATCATCTAATCTTAGAATAGCCACAAACCATAGCTCTGCTGGAGGCCACAACACTCATAACAGATGTATTGGTGAAAGGAATAACAAACAGATTTAGTCTCTTTAAGTTGCTAAACAGCTTATGACCTAGATGATAGAACCGAGAAACGCTTTCCTATGGGTCCAACAATACAAGACTTTGTAATAGAACGAATTAATCTGATAAGACAATATAAATTTCTAGTACTTTATGGTAAAATGGCATGCATACCTGCAGTTAACACCATAAGAAGTGTCAACCAAAATAGCCTTTGCATTTTGGTGAGCCACAATAGCACCGCTTCCTCCTACTTTCGGACTGAGATATACCATAATCATAAGTGAGTTCAGTCATGGGAGGAATGTGTCGCATCGCATAGAATGCAATATGAATTTGGGACTCCCCATTCTGCTCATACACAATAGGCTGCCAGAAAACAGTAGGAGAACAGCTGTGGTTCATAAAACGAGAAACATTCCCAGAATCTTTGGCACTAATGATCAATGGAGCAGGAATGTCATAATCCTCACTCAATTCAGCCGTATCCTCGCCCACCAATGGAGGATCATAGTTCCACTTAAATGATTTATCGAATTCACGACTAGTATCGAAAACATAGTCACCACCATCACTACTTTCATCCCTATCATATTTGGCTTTGTCAATCACTTCACCAGCATATTCACAAATGAAAGTCCCAGATCGAATAGCATCCCAAGAGCGCAAGCCCCAACCTTTATCCTTAGTCTTAAAAACCTCCAGTCGCACCTTCAAACCACTCTGTGACACTCTGTTCTTGCAATTAGGAAAGCATGGACACGACGGTCCACACTCGTAAACAAGCGATTTCCTGCTCACAAACACCCCATTCATAGTATACGGGAAATCACCGCCATTCTTACGAATACAAGAGCAGTTAAGATCACCTGCAGCACAAGCACTATGGCAATTACACCCATAAGTAGGCTCAGACAAGTTAAGGGACTTTGTATACTTAACTGAGCGTAGATAGGTGAAGTAAGGAGGCCCCTTTTCGTTGTCGAAATCATTAACAAGCGATACAGGCAGACTTTCAGCGCCTGAAGTAAGGTCAGGAAGAATCAAACCCGGCCTCGACGACACACTTTCTTTCCATTTCAAAATAGATTGCCAAACTCCAAAACCTGGAGACTGCCCAGGTATCCTGACCATCCTATACTTGAAAAGATTAGCACCCGATTTCGCCTTCTCAATCCAAGACTCCTGAATAGTATAAAGCCCATCATAAACATATATCTTCATGGAAGGATTCGAAGTATCCCTGATACCTCTAATCACCCTAATTTGATTCCCTCGTCGAGAACTCTTATCCAAAGCAAGATTCCCCCTTTCTAGCTTCTGATCAGAAGCTGCTTTACCACTGTTATTGTAATTCCCACCACCATGACCTGAGTAAACCAAAACATCCTGATCTTCAGCATCATCGTCGTATCCGCCAGACGACACAATGCTGACAGCAAGTGGTTCATCTTCAGCATCAGTCTTAACAGTCATGTAATCAATACCAGCCATTGAAGGTGCATGCAACCCCACAACACAAAGTTCCATTCGGAAAAAGAAAATGTCACCAATCTCAAGCCCAGGAACAGCACCAATTCTCTTCCTACTATTTGTCCTAAACCCAGCAGTCATCAAAATGTTACCAGCTTTCAAATCAGCACGCTTAATCAACCCCGTCGAAGCCTCCTTCGAATCCTCAAGCTGGCTTAACCGCCTCCGAACACCATCAAACTTCATAATAACATAATTAACAACTTCCCTGTTACCATCCTCCCTTTGCACTTGAGGCAAACCAACCACATTTGCCAAATTCGGCTTCCGGATACCACCGGAAGCAGCAGCATTCTCCATCTTTCTAGCCTTCCTCCGAGCAGCCGCCTCAGCAGGGGACAGACCCTTAGTACTAGCTGCCCGTTTCTTGCTCCCAGACGCGGTACCAACACCGCCATCTCCAAAATTTATATCCCTCGAAGCCTCCATAGAAGACCCCGTATCGCCATTCGAAAAATGACCACCCACTTGAGGAGTCCCAAATGACCTCAACGGCACCGCGGCAGCAGGGGTGGCATAACCACCAGCACCATCCTGGTTCCTCGCCTCGCCCGCGGCTTGGCTACCGGGTGGACCCATGCTAAATGGGTAAAAGGGGGTGAACCCAGATGGGAAAGGACCAAAAGGGGATGAACAAACAAAAGGAGGAGCCTGAGGTGGGTTCGGAAACATGGGTACCAAAGTTCTCAAGGGTTTCACATCTAAAACCCTTGATTTATCGAATGAAGGTTGAGATTGTGTGCTTGGACCAGAAACACCGTCCATCTTTAACAATTAAATTCGAGATTTTACTAGATTAAATTACAATGGAAAACAAAGGGGTTAGAGTATAATTTACAGCGAATTACAAAAAGGAGATAAACCCATTTGAAGATCCATTGATTCGAAAAGGAATTTGGATCGAAGCTGGTGATTTGGCTTCAGGCCAATCAGTCATGCAAAATCAGATCTAGGGTTTATATGAGAAGAGAATTGGGGAAATGGGGATTTTTGTAGAGAGAAATATATTGGGAATTGTAAAGAACATAAATGAAGGAAATTGAGTGTGGAATTTGAGAAATGGAGAGAGAAAATCGCCGGAGAGAGAAGGGCCGGAAATCGGTGACTGGGGAAAGTGATTTGTGAGAAGAAAGGGGGAAAGGGAGGAAATAATAACGATTTAAGATAGTAAAGCAAGTACATTAGAATAATTAGATAAATCTACTGTATCAATCGATCTATCTACTCCCTTTTTTTTCCTATGTAACTGACTTTTTTTTTTCCCTGAAAGAATGTAATTGACTTTAATTTAAACATACCTTTTGTTGTAGCAAATAAACCCCATAACCTAAGACTTAAGTGCAAATCAACCCCTTTAGAATTAATCGAAGCAAATCAGCCCTGCACCTTTAGAGAACGTGTAATTAGCCCATACATTGTATATTCTGGCCATATATAATCGGAAAATTTTAATTTCGCCGGAATACCACTATAATTTTACCATTATACTATCCTTAAACCATTGAGATACAACCCTTGTATATTTGAAGTACGTTATTTATAACTTACATACAATAACCCTATAATGAAATTAAAAAATACATCCAAAAAAAAAGTGAACTACATGAACAGCAGCTCCACGTTCAAGCACAACGCTCTCCAAAACATCTCAACTCTCTTCCATGGCTTCCTCTGCAGGTAACTTTGATTTCTCTCTCATAATATAAACCATGATTAAAACCTAATTTTAAATTGTACCTGTAGAAACAATGAAATTCAGATTATTCAAAATTGCATTTGAAAATAATTTAATAATAGATAATTCCTATAAGCAACAACAACAAAGTTGAATGCAATTGTCACAATTGTATGTGTTTTATGGAGAACTGAATGTTATTATGAAGTCCCTTAATTATTATTTTTTCTGGTGCAGTACATCCAAATATAATTAATCTCAAATGCTTTCATGGGGGAAATTAGTTGACGGGAGAGAATATGTGATTTATGTGGGTGGTTCTTGTATTGAAGGAGAAATTGACATATGTAAATTTGATTTTAGAATGGCCAAAAAACTGATTGAGGTGTTAGGTTACTCTTATGATTATGTTGACATCTTGTATCTTGTGAAAAAAAGAGGCCTTCAAATTTTATGTGATGGCGAAACATAAGAGGAACTTCGTGTTGAAGGGGTTACACATGGGGCTATGGAGTTCTATTTCCATCATTCTATTGAAGAAGGTGATAATGAAGAACTTTTATAATATTCATCGAAAATAAAAGTTGATTATTCAGGGGAACTTAATAGAAAAACTACAGAAGTTCCTGTGGAAATTATAGACTATGATCAGAATGATGAGGAGTTATATGGGAGTGAACCTGAAAATATAATCGAAGATGTTGAAGCTGGAAGTAGCGATGACGAGTTTATTGATGTCCAAATAAAGAAAAAAGAATGGGTCACTAAAAGAAACAATTCTGGAAAAAAAAAAGAACATGGAGGAAAAGAAATTTGAGAAGGTTAGTATAGATCACAATGGGGATATAGAAAAAAGTGGACAAGCAAACAAGCCTGCAAAAGCAAAGGATAATTATTGGGGTGTAGATGAATATGTAGAACAAGATGAGCATGGCATGGATGGAAGTGAAATAGATTCTGAGGATGAAATTCCACTTAGTCGTAGCGATGATTAGGAGGATCCTGAAGTTCTACAGATATGTGATTGGCCTCTATATGATCCTAATACTCCATTTGGATCTGTTCAAATAGAGCTAGGGCAATTATTCCAAAATGTAGACGTATTAAAAAAAGCACTCATCCTATATAGTTGCCAAACCCATAGGGCATGGAACTATTGCCATAATGAACCGCAAAGACTACTTCTGAAATGCAAGTTTTATGAGAGTGGGTGTCGTTGGAAGCTAAGTGCGAGGTATACAAAAGAGTTTGGTTGTTTACAAATCCGATTTTAAAAAGATGTTCATAATTGCACACCCACTATGAAGAATAAAAGGGTACATGCAAACTTTCTTGCTGAGGAATACCAAGAAAAGCTTCTAAAACATCCTACTTGGAAGCTAAAATTGTTTGTTCAGGATGTAGAAGACACATATGGTGTGAAAATTAACAGGTGGCAAGCTGTAAGAGCAAAGAAATATGCCTTGTCTGCATGTGCAAAGGTTGTTGAAAAACAATATGAATTTCTCAGAAGTTATATGCATGAATTGAAGACTTCTAATGTAGGTACTAGCGTGTTCTTATCTTTAAAACCACACATTTCACGTTCAGAACCTCAATTTCATATGTTCTACATCAATTTTGCTGCTTTGAGACAAGGATTCCTACATGAGTGTAGAAAGGTTCTCGGCCTTGATGGAGCATTTCTTAAAGGATATTGTAAGGGTGAGCTTCTTAGTGCCACATCAAGGGATGCAAATAATCAAATGTTTCCGATCGCTTGGGCAATTGTAGAGACTGAATCCAAAGAAAGTTGGTCTTGGTTTCTTAAACATCTTATAGAAGATCTTGAAATGCAAGATGGCAAGGGATGGACTTTGTTATCAGATCAACAAAAGGTATGTTTAAATTTAAGTTTAACTCTTCATTAGTTAATCTAAATTTTATGTTTAAAGGTATGTTTATTTTTTGGAGCTTCCATAGTCATGGTTAAGTTCATTTTTGTACATCTAATATAGTGTCTATCATAGGGATTATTGTCTTTCATACCACAACTTCTCCCTAAAGTTGAGCACAGGTTATGTGCTAGGCACATATTCACAAATTGGACCAAGATTATCAAAGGGGCACCTTTACACAAACTATATTGGAGGGCTGTGAAATCATATACTCAAATTGACTTTGAAAATGCTATGAAGGAACTACAAAAGCAAAGTTCAAAAGCTTATGAGGAGATGTGTGCAAGAAATGTGAAGAATTTTTGCAGATGCTTTTTTAAGACTTGGGCATGTACTGATGTAACTTGTAACAATATGGCGGAAACATTTAACTCATGGATCCTTGAAGCTAGGGAAAAACCAATATTAACAATGCTAGAAGAAATAAGAAGACAAGTTATGTCTAGAATGGTGGATAAGAAAGAGCAAGCAGCTAAATGTGTTAGCATTGTTACCCCTAGAGTTCGATTGAAGTTAAATGATTTCAGACAAGCTATCAGAAATTGGAGGCTTATCGAGGCCAAAAAAGATGCATACGAGGTGCAACATACTCATAACATCAACATATCATATGCAGTTCGATTAGATAAAAAGAGTTGTGCATGTAGATATTGGGATTTGAATGGGATCCCATGTGAGCATGCAACAGCTGCATTATGTGCTAAAAATGAAACCCCCGAGAATTATGTAGCTTGTTAGTACAATAAGGACACATACGAAGCTGCATATTCATTTTCTTTGGAACCCATTAATGGACAAGCACTATGGAAGAAAATTGATGAAGGTCCAATCTTACCAAGTGACCCCCGAGTGAAACATGGGAGACCCGCAAATAAGAGAAAGAAGGCATATGGAGAAGGTAAACGGAAAACACATTTGTGTAGGGTTGTTAAAAGTGGTAAACGATTGTGCTCTAATTGCAAAGAACCTGGCCATAAAATTACAACATGCCCACAAAGAGTTAACGGTGCTACACAAAAGTGACATATTGCTGATGCAACATCTTAGTTAGTACGAGTATTGGTAATTGGTATGCTTCTATATGAGACACAATTTTGGTCTTAGTTACTCTATTGTGTTAAATTGTAATTTTTTTAAATTTAATTTTTTTTTTTTGGAATAAAGTGTGTTTAGTGTAATTGATTTAATATTTATTGGTTATAGACTAAACAAATTTAATTTAGTGACTATTCCAGAAACTATCTTACAACAAGATGCAAAATAAAATGGGAAGTTTTCCATACATACCCAAAAAAATTACTGATAATTATCATCCATATTCTAATATAATGCTTCAATCAAGTTTTAGACATGAAATTGTATGAATCAATTACCAAATAAACTTACAACATTCATAATAAGATCTATGAACTTGATTAACAACTTTGTAATTGACAAATGAGTATTACCTTTGTAATTGTAGTCCATAGCTGCGCTATATGTTGGTTGGAGCTCCGATGGACAATGGATATGGCGATACGATAGTGCTAGAAGTTCTACAGAAATTCTTTGAAAGTTGTAGAAGGTGGTAGTGAATATTGACTACTAATAGGATTCGTAAACAACCCAATTATTCCTCTCATTAAATTAGCTAATTTAATTTGCACTTAGATTTGAAGATAATTTGTCATTGAAAGGAGAGAGAAAAAATGAGAAAAGGTGGGTACAGGGAGAATGTTGTATGTAGAATTGATGAAGAAGTAGACCAAAAGTTGGTAAGATGGGAAAAATGGGATACATGTGTCATGAATTATATTAGCATAAATATACGTGTACTATTTATTTGGGGAAAAAATACGTAGTAGTTGTTTTCCGGTTTGTATTATGTATTAAGATTAAATGTCACCGGAAAATATCTAATGGGAGTTAAATTGCACGATTTAAAAAGTAGTGGGGTTAATTTGCTGTTATTAGTACTTAGGGGGCTATTTTGCACTTAAGTCTTAGGTTATGGGGCTCATTTGCCACATATTCCTTATTTTTAATATTACAATAGTTTTGTACCCATGTTGTACGGGTTATTTATTGAATTTTAAAATAAAATTTTAATCTAAATATCAAATTTAAAATAGGAAAATTTGATTTAAATAATCCAACCTTTGACGTATTTAGTTTTAATAATCCAAGCTTTGGGGGTGTTCTTTTTTATTAGGCCAAACAGGTCACCTAATCTAAAACAGCAGGTCACTTGCCACGTGTTACGTTTTCATTTGTCCAAAAAAAATTAATTTAAAAAAAACTTAAAAAAAAAAAAATCTTTTTTCCCTTTCTTCTTCTTCCCTTTACCCCTCCATGAATTCAGGCCTCAACCCCATTTCCGGCAAGCTCCCCTCCCCGCCCCTACTTCCCTTTCCCACCGCCCCTTCCTTGTTAACCTCCCTTTACCACTTCCCCTTCCTCATTCTTTCCCCGAACACCTCCAAACCACTTTCTTTTCCCTTCCCTTCTCGAATTCCGGCCACCTTTTCAAAAATCTTATCAATTTCCATCCGCGCTTATCTCACCCTCGAAACCCCGCGCACCCTCCCTCGACACTAGGAAACCTCGACCCTTCCCTATTACCCCTCTTCTCGATTGTCGATTTTTAGGTTTTGGTCGTTTTTTGTTCTTCTGAGACAAGGATTTGCAGAAATCTGAAAATAGGATTGATTTGTTTATGTTTGGGTTGTTTATTTTCAATTGGAAAGTCAAAGTTGTTATTTTGATTTGCAAAAATAAGGAATGATCTTGGTTGGTTTTCTGAAAATTGAATCTTGAGAATTTTGATTTGAAGGTTGGTTATTGTGGGAAAGAAGAAATTTGAGTTGTATTGGGAATTTTTATGGAAGTAACCAATCAATGGCAGACTTTAAAGAAAGTAATTCATGAGCATTTCATTAGGGTGAGGGGAGGGAGATCGGCGGTAAGGGGTGGGGGTGGTCGAAGAAGGGGGTTGGGGTGGGGGTGGTCGGAGAAGGGGACGGTGAAGGTGAAGGGAAAGGAGGAGGAAGGTAGGGAATGTTTTTTTTTTTAATCATTTTTTTTTGTCAAAAAATTGAAAGGAAAAAAAGTTACCTGAAGAATAGGTAGAAGGTCATTTTGGCCTAATAAAATAAAACACCCCCCAAAGCTTGGATTATTGTAGAATAATCAAAAGGTTGGATTATTAAAAATAAATACATCAAAGGTTGGATTATTTAAATCAAATTTTCCTTTAAAATATATCATTGATACAAAATTAGTTAGGAATTGATGTGTTTTTGTGACGATTTAAACTATGTAGTAGGCATGTAGGCATGTAATGACTAATAATAATAATAATATTGATGAAAAACATTTCTTGACCCGTAACCTGAAATAATGACTCTGTTCGAAATGACTCGTGACCCGACCCGATTGACAGGTCTACCCACAGTAATAAAGTTATATTAGATTGTAAAGTGTATTATTTTGATTGATTAGAATATATTATAAATAATGGATGTAATACATTTTGAACTAATTCCTTTGCTCCAAATACAAAAAATTAAATTATATGATAATTTATGACAGTCATAATCTAATTATTTTTTGAATAAAATTATAATTCAATTTTTACATGTGTAATATTGATACTTTATCGAAAATAAAACCCTAAATTAACAATTTTATCCTAAAATTCTATACAAATTTGATTGAAAATAGAATTCTAAACTAACTTGGGTTGTTTATTGAACTTTAAAATAAATTTTTAATTTATATATCAAATTTTAAAATATATCATTGATACAAAATTAGTTAGGAATTGATGTGTTTTTGTGACGATTTAAACTATGTAGTAGGCATGTAATGACTAATAATAATAATATTGATGAAAAACATTTCTTGACCCATAACCTGAAATAATGACTCTGTTCGAAATGACTCGTGACCCGACCTGATTAATAGGTCTACACACAGTAATAAAATTATATTAGATTGTGAAGTGTATTATTTTGATTGATTTGAATATATTATAAATAATGGATGTATTACATTTTGAACTAATTCCTTTGCCCCAAATACAAAAAATAAATTTATATGATAATTTATGACAGTTATAATCTAATTATTTTTTGAATAAAATTATAATTCAATTTTTACATGTGAAATATTGGTACTTTATCGAAAATAAATTAACAGTTTTATCCTAAAATTCTATACAAATTTGATTGAAAATAGAATTCTAAACTAACTTGGGTTGTTTAATGAATTTTAAAATAAATTTTTAATTTATATATCAAATTTTAAAATATATCATTGATACAAAATTAGTTAGGAATTGATGTGTTTTTGTGACGATTTAAAATATATAGTAGTGTAGACACCCATTTGTGTCTCCCCAAAACCAAACCCGGTGAAGAGTACCTTTCATTTCGAATCATAATCGAATGAAGTGAAAGTGTGGAAAGTCTAGTGTTGCGGATAGTTTTAATTTCTTATCTCTTCTCTCTATTTTTGAAAACCTATTTTAAGAAAACAGTCAATCCAGTTTGGTTGGTCCATGATATGGGTCCATTAATAGTGTAGTTGGATGGGGCTTAAAAAGAGCTTTCCAACGATATATTATAAGCCCAATATTCCGATGAATAATGAGGAAGTTATGGCCAATTACTAAACTGGACCCGGTTTGAACCTTATATGTGGCCCAATGATCTAGAGGAGGGCCTAATATGGATTTATCATTCCTAATGCAATTAGGAATGGTTTTAGTCTTCTAGATTCTTTTAGAAGACTCTTTTCATTCCTAATTCAATTAGCATTGATAAATTGACTTTTGTTGATCAGAATAAAAGAATGTTTTTGAGGAAAATACGGTTTTATCCTCCTGTACGGTTAAATTCTATCTGATTTTAGAAAACGCGTCAAAATCCTGATTAGTGCCTAACGACAGCATTAGCGCCTGGCGCTGAGCTTGGCGCCTGGCGCTAGCATTAGCGTCTAGCGCTAATGTCAGCGTCTGGCGCCAATTCTGTTTTTTTTCGCGTCAGAACTCTGGTTCAATTTTCTATCTTTTTGGCTGATTTTCTCTATAAATAGCCTCCTAAAAACTCCGTTTTCAATAACCAATTGTTATCTACAATCATCAATTCTAATTCTCTATCTCTCTTAGCTAAAGCTTCTCTCTCTCTCTTTTCTAAACCTACCCCCTCTTTTACAAACAAAATTCCGCCCTCACAAGACCTAAATACACCTAACATAGTTCGAAGTTGCCTTTGCCTTAGACGTGAAAGGTTTTAATTTCTGAGGGTTTGGTCCCTAATCTTTATTTCAATTATTTAATTTAATTGTTTGTTTTTTATTTTCCATGAAGTTACTAACGCGTGTATTTTGTTATTAGAAAGAGGTACGAGGCATCCAAGTAAGTGCTTTAATGATTTTTATTGATATTATGATGTAGAAATCATGCTTAGGTTGTTATTATGATTCCTAGTGTTATGTTAGGGTGTTTTGATTTTCCTAGTATCATGTCTAGGGTAACTTTAATATCAAGTATGATTAAAAGTATGATGCCTTTTATGTTCTTCCTAATATCATGTTAGGGTTAAAGCTTTGATCTTTGTTGTTTAGTGACATGCTAGGGTTTGTTATTAATCTTGTTAGTATCATGCCTAGGATCTTGCTATTATTATGATTATTTTTATAATTTATGATTATAATTGTTATAATTATTGTTAGGATTTTTTAGATTTTAACACCTG